AGCTCCCTTTAAGTCTCTTTGCTTTGGGATTGAACGCTGACTACTTGGCTACTTCCCTGGAGTTTCCTGCTTGTTCTAGAACCTACTACAGGGCTTTCCACAGGAACCCAGCTCAGTCCTTGCTATTCTTCCCTCAATCTGATTTTTCTCTTGCTTTTAAAAGGCCCAGGTGTTTTATCAGGCTGTCACCTGACCCCAGTTAAGCTGGGAGGGTGCTAATTATTCCACAAGTGGGGCTGATGGAAAAAGGATGGCTAGTCCAGGCCTCCTGGCCCTGCACTGGTAAAATAAGCATATCACATTGCGTACTGTCTCCCCATTTCCCATACTCACCTAGCAGCTGTGAAGAAGGGGATGCAGAGTGTTCTTCATTTTTTCTTTGGTAGATCTTGTGTGGTGCTCATTATTGATACTGTTAGGAATTCACTGACAAAAACAGCATTACTGCAGCGTTAAATTTGTCCAGTGGCATCTCGTGCCCTTCCAGAACATTGAGCTACTAGGATGATCAGGGGAATGAAAGGCCTGTCTTATGAAAGGAGACTGGAAGAGCTTGGCTTGTTCAGCCTAGCCAAAGGAAGGCTGAGAGGGATCGATTGCTGAGAGGGGATCAGATTACTCCCTGACGTATTCACAGAGAACAAACACCAGGGAGCGAGAACTATTGAAGCTAAAGGACAATGCTGGCACAAGAACAAATGGATATAAACTGGTCCTGACCAAATTCAGTCTGGGAATTAGAAGATTTCTAACCATCAGAAGAGTGTAGTTCTGGAACTGCCTCCCCACAGAAGTTGTGGGGCAAACAATGTAATTAGTTTTAAGAGGAAGCAGGACAAGTTTATGAGTAAAAAGAAAAGGAGGACTTGTGACACCTTAGAGACTAGCAAATGTATTTGAGCATAAACTTTCATGAGCTACAGCTCACTTCATCAGATGCAAATTTATGAGTGTGATTGAATGACAGGGTTGCTTGTGATGTGTGTGTGTGTGTGTGTGTGTGTGTCAGGGTCTGGTTTTTATCTTATGTTCTTAAAAGCTCATGCTTCAGGATTCCAGCTGGCCACTGGCTGGAGTCAGGAAGGGATTCCCCATCCAATGTAATATGGTGGTGGTGGTGGTGGGGGGAGTTGATGTACTTTTTCTGAAGCCTATGAGATGGATGGGGCTGGAGATGGGACATTGGAGAGTGTGGGCCAGGCTCTGAGGCGGCAAACATTCTCTCTCTCAGGTGCTTGGCTGGCTCTTCTTCACATGCACAGGGTCTAACTGCCATATTATCCCCATACACTTTGTTATAGTGGGATGGGAATAATGATCATGCTTTCAAGTTTTTGGCATGTGTAGTTACCAACAGGACCAGTGAAAGAAACCTCAGCTGTGGTCTATGTCCCAAAAACTTAAGGAGGGGAGAGAAGACTGGTGTAACTCTCTCCTTCTCCACCCCTCCCTCACCAGCCCCAGCAACCTATAGCCCCCCCCCCCATACACCATGTCCAGTTCACCCTCCCCTTTCCCTCCCATTCAGTACTTAGCAATTTGGTAGAATCTGAATTTCAAGAAAAGCTGTTTTATTTAGGGGGCTATATTCTGGGAACATCTCACTCACAAAGCCCCAAATTTGGATCACTAACCCTACCCTGCACCCCTATGAACCACAGCAGATTTCAAGATAAGCCGAGGAAGCATTCCAACTTTAAAGGTCTGTTCTTCCAAGTGTTCTAAACAGAAAAGTCTTCTCCATCTTAACTGTATCACAGCTGGTGCTCCACTCTAATACTGTATTAAATTAATTATCGGCAAGGGTTGGGCTATATCCAGATCCCCAGCACAGGCCAATCCTGAAAGCATAGGGGGGCTCTGGGAGGCATAAAGTGGCCCATTCATCTCAATGGTATGGTCTCCCTTGAATGAGAACAAGTGGAGAGCAATACAGCCTGAAAAAGAGCTCTGAGATATGTGAGCTGCTCCATTAATCTCAGTGCGTGCCCTTATTCACCCCACCCCCTGGGGCCAGTGCTTGAAAGCCTGTGAGATGCCTGTCCTCATCTTCTGACCCCAGTCTCAGCAGTGTGTTCTTGGTGCATGTTCCCAGCATGCCTGTTCTCAGCTCCCCCTGCAGAGAGGAAGGGCTTCCCCCTTTGCCAGATCACATGGGTGACAGGGACATGGGCTCAGATGCTTTCAGAAGGAAGAGGGCCCTCAAATCCTGGCTCACAGAGAAAAGGGCTTACACCCTCCCAGAGGGACAGGGGATCGATCCCACATTGAGGGGTGGTCAGGGAAAGTGGCTTAGACACTTCTAGAGGGACAGGAGTCCCCAGGCCCACATGACCCAGGGGGAAGGGAGAGGGCTCAGATAATCTCAGAAGGACAGGGACCCGCTGATACCTGCTCATATGAGGGGCAGGAAGGGAGAGGGGAATGGACCATGAGAATGGCAAGGCCCCCAGATCCCTGATGGTGGGGGTATGGAAAGGGGCTTAGATACCTACATGGGAGGAGTACTGCTGCTCTGCTGTAATACTAAAACACTGACTATTTTCAATTATTTCTACAATATTCCAAGTGAATATTTCAGTTGAATAGTACACCCTACTGTCCTACATTCGCAGGAGCCTTAATGTGTGAGAACTGCTGCAGTGGAACAGACCAACAGTTCACCCGGTTAAGTATCTTGTTGCCCACGTTAGAAGTGCGAGGGGAAAGTGGAAACCTCTCTCTAAATGAATCCATTCAGTATCAGACTGTTTGGGGAGATTTCTTCCTGATGCTGGTGCTGAGCAGCTCATTCCCTGACTCAGGAAGGTTGACAAGAGATACAACCCTAGTATTCCTTTAGCTTTAGGAGACAGACCTCCAGGCATCCTTCCAGAAAGGCCAGACAGGCTCCTTGTCATTCCTTACTCACACCAACCTCAGCATCTTCTCATAGATCCTGATTCTCCAGCAGCTCTATTTACCCAGCACCCTTTGGTTTTCCTTAATCACAAGGCTTTTGAGGGCTGCTTGCTACTTCTGTTCCACTTTGAGCTCTGTCCAAGCAGACTCTGTCTTAGCCACTGTAATGGAATGCTAATCTGTATTATACTGTTCAACCACTAGGTAGCACTGTATGCACTATATCTTATCTAAACCAGCCTCACCGCACCTGGCAGAACATTAAATGAATGTATGAACACAGCTGGAGTGTATAAGCAAGCTCTGTAGCCAGTCCACAACTGGTAGAGGAGCATGACAGGAGTCAGAAGTGAACTATGAACAGAAACAGATGGAAAACAGCAAAGGTTGCAGATAGAAGGAACAGGATGCAGGATCTCATCAACATGCCACTCTTCAATGCCCTAGAGAACGTCAGCTTTGACAAACCTTCACGATAGACAGGCTCGAAGCAGTATTTTGCAAGTTTTTGAATTGCAATCAAATGCCACAAAAAAAAAACCTGGTGATATACAGGTATCTAATGTATGCTATGGGGAAGCAAGGCAGAACATATCTTTAAATCCTTTGACTTTACTGAAGACAGCCACAAAGACAACTATGAAAGGGCTCTGGCTATGTTTGATGCATACTTTATATCTCAGAGAAATGAGCTTTAATGAAAGAGCATGTTTTCACCAAAGAATTCAAGAACTAGGGGGAAATGTTGAATGTTTTATAAGAGCTCTGCATGCACTGGCTAAACACTGTAATTTTTGGGAATGCAAAACATGAAAATATCAGAGATGGGCTGGTTATTGGGTTAACAGATAAACCCAAAGCTACCTGACAAACCTAAAACTAGCTAAAAGTCATTATTATAAAACCCCTAAAGCAACGAGAGAGAACTCTCAGGCCAAGAGGGATAAATTCCAGCCTACGTTCACAAAGTGTAGAAAAAGTCATATCCCAAGAGATGATGCATGACCAGTCAGAGGTACATGGTGTAATAAATGCCTGTAATATAGACATTTTGCAGCGCTTTGCCCCACCAAAGCAGTCAGGGAGTTGACTCATATTACAGACGAGCAAGAGCCAATGTTTCTAGGATCTATTACTTGTGATGAAAGAGCCTGACTGGAGAGTGAACTTGAATATTCACGACAAGACTATAAACTTTAAAACTGATTCAGGAGCTGATGTCATAGTCCTCTCAGATGGGACTTACCATCACCTTCAACCCCTCCCAGAGCTGAAGTCACCTGACACAGCTCTAACTAGCCCTGGAGGTATTCTGAATTGCATGGGGCAGTTCACCAAACAGCTTACAAAGACAAAAGCTTTGCATTCAGATTGCATGTGATCAAAGGACCAGAGACCAACACCCTATGATGGGCCTAGTGAGAAAGGTAGAAGAACTCGATGGAATATTTGGCGATACTGGACTTTTGACAGGAGATCCAGTACAAATAACCTTGAGACAATGCTGCAACATATAGTGTACATAAACCTCACGATTCCTCTTCCACTACTTCATAAGTGGAAACTGCATTAAAGAGAATAGAACGATTGGCATAATTGAGAAAACTGCAGAGCCAAAAGCATGATGTGCCCCAATGGTACCAGTTATAACAAAAAATGGAAAAATATGAATCCGTGTGGATCTTAAAGACAATGAAGGAATTGTAGGGAAAAAAATCCTCTTGACACTAGATGACTTGTTCCCCAAAGTGAAAAGAGATACAGTATTCTCCAAGCTAGATGCCTCAAAGGGATTCTAGCAAATTCCTTTAACCACAGAAAGCGCTAAACTAACTCCATTTATCACAACCTTTGGGAGATTTTACATTTGAGGATTACCAGTGCACCTGAAATTTTCCAAAGAAAGAGGGCAGAACAATTAATGATCACAGGAAGCCACAGAATCTCCTTTGTGCCCTCTAGCGCCTCTTGCACCATCCAGACTTCTGTGATAAATGATTATTAAACCAAGAATCATATACATTAGGTTCTTCCAGTTCCAAAGAACCAGACACACGCTCCAGGTCAACATATACTTTAGATTTCACCCAAACCCATGCTGGTAGCCAATTCTTTAGTAACTAAAACCTAAAGGTTTATTAATATACAAAAAAGGAAGCGTTATTAAGAGGTTAAAATTAATCATACACATTACAGGTGGTTTCACAGTTTGCAGATCAGGTAAATAGCAGTGATGTTAAATCTGCCAGTTTGAAATAAGTCTCTCTGGTTCATCCCAAATATTGGGGTCCTCAGTCCATTGTTCTAAACTCTTCTTTGTCAGAAATCATAATCCAGAAATGTGGAGCAGGAAAGAGGCCAAGAAGTGATGTCACAGTCTCCACTTTTATATCCTCAGCCTATGTGCATGGAAAGTTACTAGCACAAACATGAAGTCTCGGATCACATGTCCTTACATACCATTGCTGAGTCATGGGTCATCAGTGTCAGCCTGCCTTCTGAGACGTCCTCAGGAGGGCTCACTGAAGAGTTTATTCTCTTTATGGGCCATCAACACATGGCTGACTAGCCTTGATGCAAATCTGTCTTGTGGGTGATATCCAGAAACACAACACATTTGAGATACAAACACATAGCAAATCTTCATAACTTCAGAGACCATGATGATACAGTGATTTAAATAGGAAAATAATACTTAGCACCTCATAACATTTTCATCGATACCTTACAAGGCATACTTGTATAAGATGGATCACAATTGTGCACCAGTGGTGACACCTTAGCGTAAACATGGTCATCTTTCTTTTTATACAATGTCACAACCACCTCAGACAAGCCCAAGCAAAGACTGGAAGTTACGGGATGGAAGCACTTGGTACACAGAGATTTCTTATGTTGATGTCAGAAGCAAGATCTGAACAGCTGGTTCTGAGACAAACTTTGTCTTTATAGGCAAGTGTGTAATGAACAAGCTGGTGTGTATATGCATGTACCTCTCGTAGTTCCCCTGGCTGTCATGGGCCCTGCACTGCTAACAGATAGCAGAGATTCTCTGTCAGCTCAGGCATCAGGGCCCTGAGCTTTGGTGCAGTTGATGGGGATTCTGCCCCAGCCACAGCTGTGAAGCTCTCCAAGTCTGTTGTGCGCAGCACAGGGGCACACGGCGGTTCCAACTGGCTGTGGAACTGGCATAAGAGAGCTGTACCTCCCCGAGTTACTCCTTCGCCATCCCAATGCTCAGTGATCTGTTCAATGCAGAGAAAAGGTTGTTACAAAAACTGAAATTTGCAATCCATGTGAGAGTGACAGGGGCCATCATTTCATCAGCAGCTGTGAAAAATGTGCATTGCTAGACCCCTCCGCTGGAATTCCAGCCTGGGAATCCCCAGGTCCATGTTGCTGAGCACATGTGAGAGCTGGGGTGTGCTCGCTGCCATGTGGGGCTCTAGGGTGCCTTTCCTCCTTGCCACCACCCCATGCAGTTGTTTCAGGGTCAAAGGTTTGTCAACAGCCAAGGGGCAGAAATCAGCCTTGTGTGCGCCAAAGGCCCCAGGATTGCACCGACCTTGTGAGTGGCCTGAGCAGTGCCCTGTGGGTGTGTCAGTGCCACGTTCAGCCAGGCCTCGCAAGAGCCACGGTTGTGCCCTCAGCAGGCTGGCTCCTCAACGGAGAAACGCTGGCCAGGGAGGAGTCTGTTTAAATTCCAAACAGCCTCTAGTGGGTACATCTGGCGATTAGCAACTTTCAGGAGAGCCTTAGCCCCAGGTGCCCCTCTCTCCTACAGCCGGGAAGGGCTAGGCCCCAGGCTGGCGACACGGTTCGGCCAGGACTCAGCCCTGCACACAGGTTAGGGAACTGGGCAAAGCCAGCGGCGCATGGCGAGACAACGGGTCTGGGGAAGGCAACAGCTCCATGCCGAGCTAACCGCCCACACAGTCCCTTATGGCACAGATCCGTACAGCAGCGAGCACATTTCATGTATGCTCCATCACGTGACCCCACTGGTGCACCCCTTACCTCCTAGTGCCTATGGTGACGCTCACCTACCCGTTTCTCCCCTAACCCCTGTGCCTCCCCCCACCTTCCCACACCCCTCCTCCCCCTGCCCCCTTCTCCCCCTGCGCCCCATCCCCCGCCTCCTCTCCCCCTGCGCCCCATCCCCCTCCTCCCTTCTGTGCCCCCTCCCCCTACTCCCCCGCTTCCGATGCCCCCTCCTCCTCCCTACGCCCCCTCCCGAACCCCGCCTCCCCTCTCCCGCGCCCCACTTCCCCGCCCCCTCCTCTCCCTCTGCACCCCCGCTTCCGATGCCCCTTCCCCAGCCCCCCCCGCCCTCCCCTCCCTCTGCACCCCCCTCCGCCCCTCCCCCTCCCGCCCCCCCCCCTCCCCCCCGCGCCCCCTCCTCCTCCCCTCCCCCCCGCGCCCCCTCCCGCACCCCCCTCCCCTCCTTCCCGCTCGCCCCTTCCCCCTCCCGAGCCCCCCCCCAGTCCCCTCCCGCGCCCCCTCCTCCTCCTCCTCCCTCCCCCCCCGCCCCCCCTCCCCCCCCGCCCCCCGCTTCGATGCCCCCCCCCCCCCGAGCCCCCCGCTGTCCGCTGCCCCCTCCTCCTCCCTCCCCTGCCCCCTCCCGAACCCCACCTCCTCCCTCTCCCCCCCGCCTCCCGCTTCCCCCCGTGCCCCCTACCGCCCCCCTTCCTGCCCCCTCCTCCCCCCCCCTACGCCCCCATCCGAGCCCCGCCTCCCCTCTCCCGCGCCCCGCTTCCCCCGCTCCCTCCTCTCCCTCTGCACCCCCGCTTCCCCCCTTCCCCTCCCGCCCCCCGCTTCCCCCACCCTCCCTCCCTCCTCCAGGCACTTGGGGCGGCTGGTCCCCTACCTCCAGCAGCCGCACGTGGCTCGCCGGGCCCGGCTCCCCCTCCCCCCAGCCGGCCGGCGCCCCGAGCCCTGCCCGCGGCGGGGACAGCCCGCCCCGGCCCGGGGGGGTGCGCCTGAGGCCGCTGGGCCCCGCCCCCCGCCCCGCAGCGCTGGCCAATCGGCTGCTCTGTAGTGGCCGGTCGCCCCGGTTACCGGCGAGCGATTGGCCGGGGGCCGTGGCCGCGGCGCGGGCGGGGCGGCGGGCTCGGCCGGGCCCGGCGGCCGGCGCGCGGCCAGTGGCGGCGGGCGGGCGCGCGGGGAGCAGCGCGGCGCCCATGGCGGCCGGGCCCGGCGCCGCGCTCTGCCGCGTGCAGTACCTGGACGACCGCGACCCCTTCGCGTGCGCCAGCTTCCCGGAGCCGCGCCGCGCGCCCGCCCACCCGCTGCTGCAGGCGCTGCCGCTGGGGGCGCAGCTGCCCGCCCTGCACCGCCTGCTGGGCGCGCCCCTGCCGGTGAGCCGCGGCCGCGGGCCACCTGTCCTGGGGCGGGCGGGGTCCGTGCGGCGGGGGGGGCCCAGGTGGAGTCGGGGGGGCTGGGGTGGGCTGGAGGAAGCGGGGGTAGGGTCTGCGCTGGGGGGCTGCACAGAGGAGGGGCTGGGGCAGTGGGGCCCGCATGAGGTCGGGGGGCTGGGCTGGAGGAAGCGGGGTCCTGGCAGGCCCCGGGGGGGGCTGGAGGGCGGGGTCTGGGGCCGGGGGGGGCTGGGCTGGAGGAAGCGGGGTCCTGGCAGGCCCCGGGGGGGGGGGCTGGGCTGGAGGAAGCGGGGTCCTGGCAGGCCCGGGGGGTCTGGGCTGGGCTGGAGGAAGCGGGGTCCTGGCAGGCCCCGGGGGGGGGGGGGCTGGGCTGGAGGAAGCGGGGTCCTGGCAGGCCCTGGGGGGGGGGGGGGGCTGGGCTGGAGGAAGCGGGGTCCTGGCAGGCCCCGGGGGGGGGCTGGGGAGGAAGCGGGGTACTGGCAGGCCCTGGGGGGGGGGGCTGGGGGAGAGCGGGGTACTGGCAGGCCCTGGGGGGGGGCTGGGCTGGAGGAAGCGGGGTACTGGCAGGCCCTGGGGGGGGGGCTGGGCTGGAGGAAGCGGGGTACTGGCAGGCCCCGGGGGGGGGGCTGGGCTGGAGGAAGCGGGGTCCTGGCAGGCCCCGGGGGGGGGGGCTGGGCTGGAGGAAGCGGGGTCCTGGCAGGCCCTGGGGGGGGGGGGCTGGGCTGGAGGAAGCGGGGTCCTGGCAGGCCCTGGGGGGGGGGGCTGGGCTGGAGGAAGCGGGGTCCTGGCAGGCCCTGGGGGGGGGCTGGGCTGGAGGAAGCGGGGTCTGGCAGGCCCTGGGGGGGGGGCTGGGCTGGAGGAAGCGGGGTACTGGCAGGCCCCGGGGGGGGCTGGGCTGGAGGAAGCGGGGTCCTGGCAGGCCCCGGGGGGGGGCTGGGCTGGAGGAAGCGGGGTCCTGGCAGGCCCCGGGGGGGGGGGCTGGGCTGGGCTGGAGGAAGCGGGGTACTGGCAGGCCCCGGGGGGGCGGCTGGGCTGGAGGAAGCGGGGTACTGGCAGGCCCCGGGGGGGGGGCTGGGCTGGAGGAAGCGGGGTCCTGGCAGGCCCCGGGGGGGGGCTGGGCTGGGCTGGAGGAAGCGGGGTACTGGCAGGCCCCGGGGGGGGGGGCTGGGCTGGAGGAAGCGGGGTACTGGCAGGCCCCGGGGGGGGGGCTGGGCTGGAGGAAGCGGGGTCCTGGCAGGCCCCGGGGGGGGGGCTGGGCTGGGCTGGAGGAAGCGGGGTACTGGCAGGCCCCGGGGGGGGGGGCTGGGCTGGAGGAAGCGGGGTACTGGCAGGCCCCGGGGGGGGGCTGGGCTGGAGGAAGCGGGGTACTGGCAGGCCCCGGGGGGGGCTGGGCTGGGGGAAGCGGGGTACTGGCAGGCCCCGGGGGGGGGGGCTGGGCTGGAGGAAGCGGGGTCCTGGCAGGCCCCGGGGGGGGGGGCTGGGCTGGAGGAAGCGGGGTCCTGGCAGGCCCCGGGGGGGGGGGGCTGGGCTGGAGGAAGCGGGGTCCTGGCAGGCCCCGGGGGGGGGGGGGGCTGGGCTGGAGGAAGCGGGGTACTGGCAGGCCCCGGGGGGGGGGCTGGGCTGGAGGAAGCGGGGTACTGGCAGGCCCCGGGGGGGGGGGGGCTGGGCTGGAGGAAGCGGGGTACTGGCAGGCCCCGGGGGGCGGCTGGGCTGGAGGAAGCGGGGTACTGGCAGGCCCCGGGGGGGGCTGGGCTGGAGGAAGCGGGGTCCTGGCAGGCCCCGGGGGGGGCTTGGTGAAGAGGGGAGGGCTGGGCAGGGGGAAGCGAGATGGTGGGGGGGCCTGCAAAGGATCGAGGGGGTGCTGGGCTGGAGGGACCGGGGTAGTGGTGGGGCCTGCATGGAGGGAGGGGCGCTGCACGGCTCAGGGGGGGGTTCTGTGTGGGGGGGAAGGAAGGGTCAGGGCAGGTCCTATGTATGGGCTGGGCTTGGTCGGTGAGAACATCCCTATCTTGCTGCCTCTGGCCCGTCCTTCGGCCCTCAGGGAAGGGTTTACAGAGTGTGTCGGCCGTGCTGGCCGGCGTACGTTTTCCCCATCCCCACGTCGCTAGGCTGGCGCAGGTTCGTGCCTAGGCTCTTGGCAGGAGCAGGCCTTGGAACTGAGCCATTGCAGCGAGTTGTTTGGGCAGTACTGGGAGGGACCAGGGGCTGGGCCAGTGAGGATGGGGTGTAGGGGTTTGTGCCCTGACCGCTAGGAGCTGTCTCCTAATTCATGGAGGAGTTGGTTGGCGTGTCCTTTGGTTGGTTCGAAACCTTTAGTCAGGTGAAATCCGTTCAGACTGGATTTCTCGTGGAGACCTGGCAGCGTCGGGCAACTGTACTAGTAGACTTACAACTGGGAGACATTGCTCCTCGGCGTCCAAGCTCAAATCCTTTCGATAAACCCCCCTATGCACACAGAGAATGGAAACGGTCAGCGTAAGGTCTTGTATTTAAACATAGCCTATAGCTTGCTGGTTAGGGCCTGTGTCCGCTATTCCTGTGTAGCATAAATCAGGAACACACTGCTGGAGGGACTTTTAACAACCACAGGTTTAGCTGTGTTCTGAAACGTCCTCTCCAGTAGCACAGGGCCCCCAACACCAAGCTGATGCATTGACTGAGAACTGACTTGAAGGAAACAGTGATGTCTTCTGAGTCACCACCACTGCTTCCTGTAACATCTGGAGTTTATATAATGCTGCTTGTACAGTGAGGATTGGGAAGCTGATAACTAGAGTCTGTTAACAGTGACTGAACAGGCAAAATTAAAGGTTTCAAAGTAGCAGCCGTGTTAGTCTGTATTCGCAAAAAGAACAGGAGTACTTGTGGCACCTTAGAGACTAACCAATTTATTTGAGCATAAGCTTTCATGAGCTACAGCACACTTCATAGGATGCATGCAGTGGAAAATACAGTGGGGAGATTTATATACATAGAGAACATGAAACAGTGGGTGTTACCATACACATTGTGATCACTTAAGGTGAGCTATTACCAGCAGGAGTGTGGGGGGGAAAAACCTTTTGTAGTGATAATCAAGGAGGGCCATTTCCAGCAGTTGACAAGAACGTCTGAGGAACAAGAAAAGGAGTACTTGTGGCACTTTAGAGACTAACCAATTTATTTAAGCATAAGCTTTCGTGAGCTACAGCTCACTTCATCGGATGCATACTGTGGAAAGTATAGAAGATCTTTTTATACACACAAACCATGAAAAAATGGATGTTTACCACTACAAAAGGTTTTCTCTCCCCCCACCCAACTGGAAATGGCCCAACTTGATTATCATACACATTGTAAGGAGAGTGATCACTTTAGATAAGCTATTACCAGCAGGAGACTGGGGTGGGGGGAGAAAAAACCTTTTGTAGTGGTAAACATCCATTTTTTCATGGTTTGTGTGTATAAAAAGATCTTCTGTACTTTCCACAGTATGCATCCGATGAAGTGAGCTGTAGCTCACGAAAGCTTATGCTCAAATAAATTGGTTAGTCTCTAAGCTGCCACAAGTACTCCTTTTCTTTTTGCGAATACAGACTAACACGGCTGTTACTCTGAAACCTGTCTGAGGAACAGTGAGGGGTGGAGGGGGGGAATAAACATGGGGAAATAGTTTTACTTTGTGTAATGATCCATCCACTCCCAGTCTCTATTCAAGCCTAAGTTAATTGTATCCAGTTTGCAAATTAATTCCAATTCAGCAGTCTCTCCTTGGAGTCTGTTTTTGAAGTTTTTTTTGTTGAAGAATTGCAACTTTTAGGTCTGTAATCGAGTGACCAGAGAGATTGAAGCATTCTCCAACTGGTTTTTGAATGTTATAATTCTTGATGTCTGATTTGTGTTCACTTATTCTTTTACGTAGAGACAGTCCAGTTTGACCAATGTACATGGCAGAGGGGCATTGCTGGCACATGATGGCATATATCACATTGGTAGATGTGCAGGTGAACGAGCCTCTGATAGTGTGGTTGATGTGATTAGGCCCTGTGATGGTGTCCCCTGAATAGATATGTGGACACAGTTGGCAACGGGCTTGATGCATAGTGTCGGACTTTCTCAGCCGCCGCATCAGAGGAAAGTTTGGTCTTTGTATTCAAAGCGAACAGTGACGTCGACCACCAGGGCTGTTTCATCTTTGACAAAAACAAGGTCTGGTTTTTGTAGTTCCTTATTGGCAGTGTACAGATGTGGTTCTTGATAAATTGTCCACTTAAGTTTACAGGCTTCTCGTGTGAGTATTCCGCTATTCATGGTGCCACAGTAGCTCTTAAACGCAGTCTGGAAAATCAGAACTGGTGTAAAGAAGAGTGAGATTGAGCAGGACTTCTGGGCTGTCCTCACTTTCTTGAATAGCGCCCTGCCATTTTTAGCTTTCCCCTGGGCACACGTGGGAGGAAACTCCTCGGAATTATCCTACTTCTCACAGTGCAGCACCCTTTGACTATTCTTCAGTGTCAGCTGTGAGGATGAGTGTCAGCTCCTCTTTTTTTCGCATGCATCCTTAGCCATGTTGGTGCGTTAGCTGACTCATGTGGAGTTTCTATCCTGTTGACGGGATGACAAGACCCCTGAACTGCTGGCTAATGAGGCATGAGTGTTAACTCTCCTCGCGGTAGATAGCTTGACAAAGGATTGCGTGCTTCTCTGAATAACCTAGGTATTCTATG